CATTTCAGAATTACCATTAGGCATTCGTCATTTGCTGGCTTATTTTTTTACTCACTCATTTCGTAATTTACTGAGTGAATCAGCTGGGAGTATTCTACGTATAGGGAGCGGGTAACATAAAAGCTTCTTGAAAATTTCATTCTGAAGATTAACTCTGGCATCACTTCTTTTAGCAGGATTATCAAAACACGTATAACATACACATATAGTTTATCTGTACCTAATAGAAGTGCACATCGATACCCTAAACAATGGACTCTTCTAAACGGGGGTCAAAACGTAAGGTTATATGTGCGGTACCTGAGCGTGCGACATGATTGTATTACAAACATTACAAACTCAAACAACAAGGACAAGTACGGTCTAACAGCGCTGTGATTGGTCTTGAGGAGAAATGTCATTATTTGAGGTTTAATTTGAGCAAAGGGTTTGTTGTAAACCAAGACCGCAGAGTTCCACCCGGAGACTTGCGTTGCGGGGATTGAAACAAGCGGCGATTGACTATGTCCGCCAACAGATCGCCCTTGTACGGTAAACTCAAGGATATTGGCTTCTTTCCAACGGTCTTGCTAGGCGGTCGGATAGAGCGGTCGGACATATTATTGGTTATAAATCTCTCTGGATAACCATTGGCTCGGAGCACGTTAGCAATGTGCTGCAGTTCGAAGTCCAATGTATCAGAAGATCACATACGTTTTGGTCGCTTCGTTAAAGTTTGAATCAGGGTTCGTTTCCGCCTTTCTCCCGCTGTTGTTCAGCGTAGTATGTTGTGCGCACGACGCGGCGACTTTCTAAGAGAATACGCGAGCGCCTCTCTTACCGATAGACCACTAACCTCAACAGTTCAGCCAGGAGCTCAATTGCATCCCACCTAATCGACACCGGGCACTGGGCCAAACGAGTCATTTCGGATCATATACCGTGTGCCAAATAGACTACCAGCATCTATTCAACGGCGTTGCTTGACTACAGCCGAGGCAGTCTATACGCCTGCGAAACCCGGTACTGTGCTGTCGAAAACATTTCGTACGAAAGTTGAGTCTGCCTTGGTCGTGTGACACGAATCAACCGGCCAAGTCACTCAACAGCCCTCTTCACTGTCTCACAGCATCCAACTCGATGCGAAATGGGGGAGCAGGCGCAGACAACCAGTCGTTCGTGTCTCCACGTTTTATATTTCACTAACCAATCTACGCAGAGTATTTCATTTTTCTTTCCTATTCTAGTCATTAGATATGTAATGACCTGATGACGAGATTCCGAAACCGTTAATGTTCGTCACTGTGTTCTTTTTCAAACCATGGGAATATTCAAGCAATTGTCATTCTGGTTCACTGATACAAGTGAAACAAACCACTTTCATAAGAGGTTAGACTACCCCTGGAATGTATGACCTTAATTAACCGGAAGCAACACTTTGCCAAGTGTGTACATGAAGCAACTTTTGGTAAATGGGAACCAAATTCGTGGGGTAATTTCTTTGTGTGCATTCGTAGGGGGCACTGCAATGAGGTGTTATAAAGCCTTCCAGCCGACAGCATTCTGTAATCTATTGCTTTGGATTGTAATCACTTCAATCAAAGATCTTGTTATCCTAGAATTCAGTTAATTTACAAGCTTCTAAGAGTTGTCTATTTGACCAACAGTTGTAGTGTGGTAACTGCACGCACCGAAGCTTTAGCTACTAGATGGTCATCCTTTTCTATTTGTAGTAGTAGTTAACTGATTTCTTTCTGGCTGCCTTAATAATCTGGAAAGGCTAGGGTAAGTCTACAATTACAAAGCGTCGAGCTCATTCTCCGGAACACTGGAGTGGTATATAAACCACACGGTCTACTGGTGACGATATTTTTATACTCTAGGAGAGTTAAGTGATTGTATCTAGCGAATGATCCAATTATTAACCAATTAATAACTGCCGGATGGCGAATGCCTTGAATTTCAAAACCATACATGACAGATCAACAACTTCTGAAATTTTGTTGGTGTTTTTTTCGTGTTTTGACGATAAAATGGATAGGTTATGCGGTGCAGGGTTGAATCAACCATGTAACAGAGAGGTGCAAGGGGTTGGCCCCTTATTTCAGCTGCAAATGTATTGAACGTCTGTTTCAGTCTTATCACTCTAACTTGTTTGAAGATCCATGTTGAAATAAACGGCCTGCTTGTCCTGTGTGCACTATCAAAAGCGCACACTTGTTCAACCCTGTTTGTTGGAACATGGGAGCAGACAGTGGCTAGGATAGGATTCCAACTGATTCGTTTGACGTCCCTGGAGTTACGGGCAGATACACATGGTCCCAATGAAGGAACAGTGACTGGATCTCATGATTGACGGACAGTGTGGATATCGGCTAATGTATCGGTGCTGGCTGACTCAGAAGAACCAGCTAATCAGCCTATTTACGAACATATAGAACCTGTAAGACCCCTATCAGAATGCACCGGAGAATATTCGCTACAGATGGCGGGGAAACCATGTTACGCTGACAAATTTTATAGCGAACGTTATGTTGAAAGAAGATTCCAAGTATGCGATGGATTAAAAACTGTTGTGGAAAACAGTAACTTAAAAACATCATATTTATAATGTGATAGATACTGGGCTGGTTTCTGTACGCTTTGCCACAGCCAAGCATATTCCACTAGGTGCAAACTAATCGGGATGACAAACTGCGTCCAATGGAAAAAATGTTTCTGGTGATTACTAATCCAGGGAAAACCAGACGAGATACCGAATAAAAAAGCAGTGACTTACTCGTATATCGTGACTGGACTTTGAAAGGTCGCTCATTTGTTGGAATTTGGCTACTAATGTCTGAGTAACAAGCGGACGAGGACGATCTTTGGCCGTTTCAGCCGGAGTACTGGACTGAACAGCGGGCTCTGNACAAGCGGACGAGGACGATCTTTGGCCGTTTCAGCAGGAGTACTGGACTGAACAGCGGTCTCTGCGAAATGATAGACAGCGGAGATTTAAGTGATAGGTTGAATTGTGGTTTCTCGCGTTATCATCGATTTCATGCTAATGACTGAATAAAAGTGAAGGAAACGTAATTTTCAGTACAGTAGTTAGCACATTTATCCTACTGTGATTCCATCGCATTTTCCCGAAAAAGCAAAGGAATCTGGGTCGAAGGTGATGTTGTGCTCTTCAAGGCAAGGAACCCTTTACTACGATGGTAGGAACAACAATGTACCATCACGTTCCTCCAATTGTGAGTCGCTCGTTTGTAAACAGTTATCCAGGAGATGAATTATACTGTTTCATGAAACACTGTCTTAACGCATTTTCCAATTCGAAACAATGTGAAAAATACACCACATAGAAAGTAGTTTGGCTAAAAGCAAGTGCCTGTTACGGTTGACCCTATAAATTAAATTTCGAAAAACTAGAAAAATGTTTTTGTTTTTGTTCGTTCTAGCAATACATATGACAACACGATCTGGAAGTTGATTCAATTTCCCGTAGTAGTCAAACTGGACAGTACCAAGTCATTACTTAACTAAATGAAGGAAGAGCCAGTCAGCACCGGACCACGTGATGTAAATGATATGATTGAGTAAATGATTGGACTAATATTCTAAGTGTAAGTAAATCTCAAGGCAGATTAGTCACCCGTGGTCCGACGTTGCAATGCTCAGTTACCAGTCGGGTTTACAGCATCCTGGATGTTTTAATACTAACCGCTGGTGAATCCCAACAATGCTGAAAAGAATGTCCAGGATGGATGAACTCAGTTTGCAGATGAGATCGTGGTTACGTGAATAACAGAAGCAAAGTAGCTGTATGAAGGCCTTACTAGTCTCGCTGAAAGGAGGAAATTTTACTCTGAAGAATAAGTTGGTCTAACATACCTTTGCTATTCTATCAAATGTGTAAGTCCACCAGCTTTTTTAGTTGTATAACTGCAATTCAGGATGTAGAATAAACCATAGCCTCGTGAGATTTGTAGCATAACTCGAACCATCTGTGTGTACTCTGGTGCGAAATGCAATAGGCCAAGCGTCACCTCAGTGCATTACCTATTTGTGAACCCGCTTGAACAAAAGACGGAACCGAAAGCGAATGCTTGGATCAGTGCTCTTTGGATGGAAATAGTCATGCCGTTCACGACATGCGTTGGTGCCCAAAATATGTTTTTGTAATTCAGATACACCTGATCAAATAACAGGCGGACAACACACTTTTCGCGAATTCTTTCAGCACACCTTTAAGAAGAATCAACCAGTACTTATGAGACGATCGACGTTGATAGGACTGAGGTCAGGTAACTACGATCCGTCTTACCAAAGAGAGTATTCCTAGACACTTGAATAACCTGATGAAGAATTGCTGCACTGCATTCAGCCTTTGCGAACTTACTGTTATACGATAATGCGATACAGTGTGTCAATTAAGCACACTTCAAGGTAAAAAGAACGTGCCTATTTGGAAGTGACTGGCTCTTTCAAGTGAGTGGTTGTTAGGAATGCAACCAGAAACAAACCAAATATTTTCAAACAATTGTGGGAGCGAGCGAAGAAGTTGCTACTAGGCAGTGCGAAATCTGACAAATGATTATGGAAAACAGTCGGATATTCTTCAGACCCTTCTTGCCAGACAATTTCGGAGTAAACTACAAGAGGTTTGTGTTATTGACGTTCCACTCATCTATCTCGCAGGAACAAAACAGTCAGGTTGGCGCTGAAATATTTGTCTACCGCCATTTTGAAGCACCCAAAGTAATATATCGCCCTTAGTAACCAGGGCTATAATTCGGTCCTTTGATTTTCTTCGATCTGCTCAAAAGACGTTGACACTAGCCAAAGTTCGTCACACCATAAAGCGAGCAGAAACCTGTCGGACTGAGTTAATTTCCTGTTCACCAAGCTAAACATTTGAGAGCTAATTGACCGAAATTTTTGCAAAGCTATAATAATTTGCTCATTTGTTCGTTTACAGGTATACTAAAACTGAAAGTCATGTAGGAGAGAAGCAGACGATTTTGTTGCAAATAAGCATTCAAAATCGGTGGAATTCGAACGATTGTTAATTCTGGGCACTGGAATGTTCAATTTTTCAGGCCGATTTTCTTTCGAACTACTGCATTCTAGCTGGACCAAGCACCACTGAAATATGTACCGAAATACGAACGTAAACTACTACTTTATTTGCTTTATTTGATCATTAAGATGGCAAAATATAATACACACTTTTAGAAAGGGGCATAAACCGTCACTTTTCCGAAGTTCTGCACATGTATTTAATGGACTGATACTGCCAGTGAATCCAGTTTAGTTGTCGGTAGAAGTCTCAACTAAGAATGAACACGTCGTCATCATTGATGTCTAATTTTTTTAAACCTCAGCTTGAATGCATTGTTTGACGATATCAAGGACTTGGTCCTTTTTGAATTGGAAGAGGGTGCATTGGTGGAATGAATCCAAGAAGGTTGATGAAATTGATCCTTGGTTGGCTTTCAGTAATACCCATGGTCACCCAGCCAGTCACAAGAGGTGTCTGGTATAAACGGCTTGCTTCGTGCTCCCGCAACAAAATACAGTTGGAGTTAATAATAACCCGCGATCTTTTTTCCCCAGGTGAACAAAGAATCTGTGCATGATTTTATCCGAGTCAAAAAATGCGGCTACCTGAAGCCATCAAGCATATATACTAATAAACCCAGCCTGAGGCCAACCTGACTTTCCACATTTAGTTATATTACAGTTCAAGTAGGCAGCTTCAGACCCATTAAGGTTGAATAAAATATAGTCCATGCATTAGTATCGAAATATTTAGGAATGTAAGCTTCGGATTATGTCGAAATGATGCGTGACGTTGAAAACAGACAACAGGTGACGCTATTTCTTCGGTCTCTACGTTCACCAGTCTCTTGGTTTAGAGAAGCTAATAAACCGAAAAGTTTGTAGTCTACACAACTCTCCGTAAACGCCGAACTAAATCTCGTATTTTTGTTTAGAGCACTGCTATATGCTACCAAGTTATCGGTTGTTAGTATTATCATAATGGCGGTAAAAACCAATAGTTGTCATTGTCAAAGTATTGATTGTTGTAAACCAAAACTCTTCGAGGGTAACATGTAACAGCCCCACTATGTCCGCCAAAGATTCACACGCAAACCCGGCTCTTGTGTCGCAAAAAATCTGCCTTTTAGCTTTGGGAGAAAATATGTCTACACGTGAGGCCTGATAGTAGATTGCAAGTCGAGTTAAAAGCCAAAATCAAAGACACATGGTATTGTGTATAGTGCTTTTGTATTGTCAACAATTTTTCCTATTCGCTTTTTCTATATTTTGTCCAATAATTTATCAACTTTGATCTAGATTGTAGCATCTTCTAAGAAAAAGAGCAAAATCTTGGCCTAAATTAGCACACTACGTTTATCGCGCTCTGATATGGTTGGAAGTATGTTTTGGAACAAAGTAGTATAATGCTGCCATTTTTCAGATGCTTCCTTTGGTTCATTCCTCAGACTGACAATGGTTCATTTGTATAGACGTAGTAAATTTGTCATTTTTTATTGGTAATTTCCATACTTTGCGCACGCTTAACGATTAAATTTATCTCTAGAGCTGAACACTTTCTGTCCCAGTATTTGTCCAGCATTTTCTCAAACAAAGCTGGAAATAATGTTTAATAAACTGTATTTCCAGAAGTGCAGTACTTCAGTTATATTATCAGCTTTCTATCTGGCTGTGAACTGGCAGAATAATGTTGGTGAGAATTTGTTGTGAAGCCTATCAAACTAGTTCTTTGCACAATGTTTGGAAGCAGGATTCGGTATCCTTTTAAATCCTCTTAGCTCGCTTAAATATGGCTTCCTTGGAGCCTCTAAAATTTCTAGTCTAACAATTGCGTCGACTATATCATTGAGACATAATGAGAATCAATTAAACTATTTCTTACGGTGAAGCAAATAATCATCGTCCTCCTCCACACCTTTGTCTAGCGCTGTGGCGCCAAAACGCCCTGCAAAAAAACGAAGCAAATCGGAATGCGAGAATAAATTATGGGTGCTTAAGTGTCAATCAAAAAGTTTAAAAATTTGCAAGCAGTTATTAACCAGTAATTGATGTCAGTTAGGTTTGAAGTGAAATGGAAATTCTGATTGTTGTATTTCAGTTAGCTATATTCTTGTTGTCTACATTACAGTTAGGTTTCATGTTGAGGCGAGATGGCCCAAGTGGTTAGAATGCGGATTTACTGACACGAAGGTCCGTGGTTCGAACCCGACACCTGCCTCTCGACTTCCCCTGTCTAGGTTTAGGCAACCTGGCAGTATCCCAGCCCTCGTGCAACCTTCAGGTGGCATGGTAGTTAGGCACCAAAAGGGTGCTACAGTTGAACGATTTCTTCAAAGATGTACCCCTTTAGGTCTGCATTTTCAAAATTTCCGAAAGAACAGTTGCGCAGGTTGATATGATAGGACCCATAAAGATTTCGACTTTAAAAACTGTAAACTCGTGATAAGTCCTGGTGCAAATGACTGTGCATACGCGCCCGGTAACTGATTATATGACTTAAATTGACACCATGAATTCTTGTCAGTTACATAAACCTTCTCAAGAGGTCAGATATTTTTAACGTCTTTTCAGAAAACAACATTTTGCGCATCTCTTCTCCGAATAAAGCCCCTAAACTAGATAATTTAACAACATTTCTGCTGTTCAAATTTTCTGGTATCATTTTCTGTGTATAAAAAGAATAGTAATGCTATATGAGGCTACGTAACACTACATAGTTTAAAATAAAGTACATCTACTTCGTAAAATTTTTTAACGGATTTCTGTGTTATCACTGGTCTGTTTATTCAACATAGAGGTTTATTTTTCAGTAATTCATGGTTAATTGTGGATATCTTTGGTCAATTTCGAGTGAAATCACTTAATGGCCCCGGCAGAGACGGACCGGTTTAGAAAACTACTTGAGACATTACAGCTAACACAGGAAAACACATAAAGCGAATGGGTGTACAGTGCGCGCGAAGCACAACCGCTGTTCATCCGTCATACAAAAGTAAGCCTTCTGGTCTTCCTCAGTCATTTGAATCACATAATCGAAGTTTAGACGACCATTTAACCCTGTCGCAGACGGCTCCCGTTTCAAGACTTTGAAATGACTAAGTTTCCTGTGGACCGTCTTACTTTGAAACGCTTATTTTACAAAATTACTAGGGTTGACTACAAATATTTATTATGTTGTAACTCCACCAGTGGGTTACAATTGGGTTACTTCCCAACACCGTGTTGAATAATGGCCCATAAAGGCGCTTACAAGCAGTGATGTAAAATCAGCGAGATTTCATCTCTCAGAAAACGATAATCTGTTTTAAAGCCACCCTTGGTATTTCATGTTTGCCTTATTATTTCTTTTGTAATACCTCAATAAATACATCAAGAATATCAGGAAGGTTAGCTTCTTGAAGACAACCATTGAATGCCCTAAATCTGCCGAGACTCAGAGCCCCGCCAAATGTTAACCAGTCAAACAACGCCCCCCTCAATATGCTTCACGGCCTTGTATCAAACCCAGACAGCGCGAGTCAGCGTTGATCAAGGTCAGAAAACGCCCCGCAATATGCAGCGCATCGCAGCCTCGTACCAAAGCCAGACTGCGTGCGTCAGCATTGGGCCAAGTTCAGACAGTGTCCCTTCAACAAATAGCTTGAGAACTCTGTATTCTCGCAACCTCACGCACTCACGCTCTCGCACTCGCTTGTTCGGAATATAGCTGTTGTGTTCCCTTCTGTGAGTCTTTTTTTCGGCATTAAGCACTGGAGGAGGTCAACAGCAGATAACACAGATTAGCGAATCAGCAGGTATAACAAAGACATTTTCATAAGACAATGGGAGAGACATACTACGAAACGTAGCTACCTCAGAGGAGCGAGCTACTAGATGGTAATATTTGACGTCGTTTGGCAAGCCATATTTACGCTGCTAACGTTCCACATAACCTTGCGCACACAGTGGTTCAACGTTGACACTAGATACATCAGAGCATGCGTCTTCCACGAACAATGACACGAGGATGCGTGAGATAAATGAAAAGTGTGGCTTGCTACCCTATTGATCGAAGCTGTAGATATTATGCAGATAGTTATAGTAGACTGTTACGGAAACTCACCTCTAACCCTAAATAGTTCGATATAATGAGGTTCACAATATGGGTGTCCATTTCCCACGTTGAAAGTTCTCACACTGAAGGAGTGGGTAATAAGGAAAGAATTAAAGAGTATCTATTCACCTTCCAAAGTAGTCCAACTGTCTAAAAAGCTCCTCAATGCTTTCAAAAGTGGTTTTCGATGAATTTAACGACATTAAGCAGTGAATAAGCCTATTGGTTATTAGCTAGATGGTGCACATTTATTGTGCGTAAACGTATCGTTCCAACTATAGGATCAATTTGTAGTTGCAAAAGGCTACCGAAGAATAACCAGCTGGACAAAATAAGTGGGCTTTCTTTGTGAATAATTTAAATTATGTGGATCTATTGACTTACAAAACCAAGTTGAAATACAGACACAACAACAGTTTGTGGTTTCAATAACCATGTTTCCATGAACGAATACAATTTCTACCGCGAATAGTCGAAAAAAACTTAGTCACCATCATAAAGCCATGGAACATTGCCGTGTTTTGAGAAAGGCATTTGGGTGCTTGCACGTACATGACTATTTGGTACACACGACTGCAAACCTAGGCACACGCGTACAACGCTCTAGAGACTTTCGTGTGTGACTGGTTGACCTTGTATGACCAGACCTCAGAGGGCAACTAAGGATGAAATCGGTACTCAGTGGTGATAACTACTTCAACAGCCCGGTAAACCCTTTGGCTGGGTTAAAAATTCTACCTCCGAAAGCTAGTAAAGTCTTTGATCAAACAGGCAATTTACTGAGGTAGGGAGAAGAATAAGAGGGCGAGAAATGCCATGGAAAACACTAAGCTGTGAATACTGACAGATCGATTCCAAAATTACTGAATTCTCCAAAAGGATCAAACGTCTTTTGACATATTGTGCAGAGAATATATTGTCAGTGCTAACTTGCAACACTATACCAGGACAAGTGTGAACTTGTAAGTTTCCAGTGTCTGAGCTACACAGTGAGCCACCTGATTCCAACTTTGTCAATCACCATATTCGATACAGAAACAATTGGTAGCCTACATTGTTCCGCAGGTTATAAAATTATTAGGCAGACGGCATTTTGTTGCACACATTTCAGGGTTATCTTAGATGACAAACTCAGCTCGTTCTTGCATGGCGTGGAGAAGCAGGTGAGTCAGTTTCTTATGGAAGAGGGGGCAGCACTATATGGCTGTTTCCTGCCTGTTGATGATCACCATTTCCGAGCAGTTGGGGGATCTGGCAATGTGTCTAAATATTGGTAACTCGGATGGGTCAGTTGGATGTTGGTCATGTGGCTCATCCAACCGCGCTTCTAAATTTGCAAGCCAACTGTCAAGCTCGGCGAAGAGGTGAATTGCCACCTAAATAGCAGTCTTCCCCAAGTATTTCTGGGAGGATTTGACAGTGCAATTATTCTCCTGATAGATAAACGTTATACCAATCGTCCAAGGTTGACTGACCACAGGCTGGATATGACGTGGCCCAGCATCTTTCTACCGCACAAGTTAATTCGGCTGACAAGCGTCTACCGGCGCGCTCAGGATGTGGAGAAATAACTAGGTGCAACAGATAACATGATCACCACTATTTAGTTCTTACCTGTCTTGAATCATTCAACCCAATTTTCCGGTGCATTTAGATCGATTGTGAAAGAAGAAACATTTGTCTCTGGCTTACACACTCCAGGTGAACGCAAAGTTCACTGGTTGGTCTATCCGGATGCAGCGCAAACGATATCAATGTTAAACTTACTGCGCAATGATGTGCCTGCTTGCTTTCGACCACTATCTGTTACGAACGCATTTGGTCACCCCCTAGTTTATAGTACAGATTCATGCAGACCGAATCTCTTAAACCAAGTGTATCAGGTACAATGACTAGCAATACTACTACAAAACGTGAAACCTAACCAGAACATCAGACTACGGTGGACATGACAAACAGCTTGGTCAGATTTTGGTCCTATTTGCATGATTTCACATTATCGTGGGCCATCCCTCGGCCATTCTATTCGAAAAGAGATGGAGCAGGATGCAATTTGATAATATTTCCGTTGCTCCTTTAGAATGATTACGGGCAATGCTGCTATATAGTCGCGCTTGAAGCTCCCTTAGACTAGCCTTTTAACGTTTGACATTTCATGTCGGTTGAAATTTTGAAACGCTAAAGAAAATTACGACTTTGTTTTCCGTTGTTTTCTAGGTAGGAAGGTAGTTGGCAAGGGGGTTATATGTCCTAGCCAAAGCTTAAACCAGTAAGATGTTGGATAAAACACCGGAAAACTTCCACTCCAGCAAACTATATGAGAATGCCACTCACCTTACCGGGCATGAGTGATTAAATCAAAGACACTGACGCCGATCACTATCCCGAACAGATGATGCGACTTGGATGACATTAGGCAGTTGTTGTTTACAACATCACGCTGAAGTTGGCCACTAACTCCTGATGATCGAAATGCACGTTTGACTTATCCAAGTACCTATCCGCGCTGATGAAAGAGATTAGCACTTTCATGCATTTAGAAATACTGTCCGTGCTGAAGAAGCGCTTTGCTCTACCCAATGTTTCATCGGAACGGAAAGTATAAATATCTCCGCATCATTGTTGAACACAATAAGGGAAACCAGTAATATTCGACTATGTTCTATCTTGGCCACCTCTGGGTGGCAGAAAATGGAGCGTTTGTGTTTTAAACACGGTAACCACTAGGATCTTCTGATGCATTGATGCTAACAAGAGTACGCTGTCTTGTGTAACAAATTTATATTAAATAAGGAAGTGTTGAATCATGTCTTTTTTATGCGGCTTCCACAAATTTGTTCAGCTATTGGGAGAAAGAATGAAAATTTCGCCGAACTTGTTAAAAAGCTACGAAAAATATCCATTTTTCGAAAGAATGTGTCTGACGGTCGGCTACAAATATTGGCACAACTAAATTTTGTCATGATTACCTTCGACTTTATCAAAATTTTTTCAGGTAGTTTCATTACGCTAGTTACGAGTAACTGAACAGTATTCACGAATTCTTACATGGTTATTGTCTTTTTTACTGGAAACATTTAGAGTGAAAATATTTAGTATTTTTGATTATAACAAAGCAATCTTTCAGCTGTTTCAATTTGTGTCCCTGCCTGCTCCTTTTTTATTACTAGATAGTAATTAAAATAATGATACTAAACAATAAAATAAATAACAGTACAACAATATTATTAAAAATATTACTTACCTGAGAGTTCGCTGGCATTTGCGACATCGAAAACAATATTTGTGAAAGATGCGATCCATCACGTGGAGGCTTTCAAGTGGATAGACAACCTTCTGGCATGCAGAGCAGCGAGGCTTTTCATTTGTTCGCGAAGAAATGATCTGGTAACAAAACAAGCTACGTGTAATCAAGCTCTGTCGTTTGTTGGGCAATAAGCTTGTGCTTGAGAGAAAATTAAAAATGAGGCCAACTTTGAGTGAGTTGTACAAATTAAGTAACACTCCACCAATCTGTTTTAGAAACAGCACCTTAAATGGGGAATCACGGCAAGGAAAAGTAAATACAGCACCGCAGTACAAGAGTTTGACATAAATAAAACCCACCGAGAATCGGGCTAAACACCAGTTTAGAAAACGGCAGGCGTGAAAAGCAGCTCAAAATTCTAATTTAACGCAAAAAATGTCTAAACTGTCGGGAATGGCTACCTAAATTAGTGAGCATTAACTCAAGCTTTACGTCATTTAGAAAATTGGCCAAAAGTTTATTTTGTTTGTGGGACTTGAAGTAATGTATCCTATTATAAGTTTTCGCATTATCGTTCACGCGTCCAAAAGGGCGGAACACTCCGTTTACAGAGAGGCGTAACTCACAAAAACACGTTTTTGTTTTCACTTTTCAGAAGTAGCTGTTTTAGCTGATGCACTACTTTATAAACATCTTTAAAGATATAGCAGACTGAGAAGATACAAATATGGTTCGGGAAAACATGCGTCAAAACTTTGTTACAGAAACAAAGAATTCCCCCTTGTTTGTAAAACCCTTCATGATAATGGAAGAGTGTTTGTGGCTTTCAAAGCTAACCCTAACAGCCATTTCTAATGGTAATATGGCCCTTTTCGAAGTAACTATAACCGTTGTTTACGTTGTATTTCATTGAATAGTCACAAAATTACTCATTGCTTCATCGATTTTCTTGGAACAGGAGTATTTTTGCATGCAAACGGGTAGAAATAGGTTGACTTTCTCGCATCCGCGAATTAGTTCTCCAAATTTGGTGACAGCCTCGGAAGTGTATCAAGAGAGTATAGCCGACAGATTAGCACCTAGACATAATGGCAACATTAGGTGTGAGCAACTTCGTAGCATTCTGGTTTTGGTCCTGATTCGATATTTACCATTATTGGGCGACTTTCATTCCCCATAATAATAAGACAGCTGGCGCAATTTTCGGTCACAGTAATTTATTAGGGTGTCCTGGAACACTTAGTACAGTCGCCTTATAAATGCAAACTCACACTCTCTGAAAGGAGTGGTAAATTTCACGTCAGTATAATTTCCCTGTGGAACTGCAACCGCGTCATTTTATCATCACCGTAGAAAGCCACCTCTGGTGAATCACTCGCTTATGAAATTGGTGGAAAAGTCAGTCAAGATTGTGCAAGGCGACCAGTACACCTATTCTTGTTACATCAGTACGGTCAAAACATTTCGGTGACAAGCTTTAGAGCGAGTGCCTACAGAAAGAAACGTCTTTAACCTCTCTCATTACGCGCTTCAAAAGATGGCCCTATGGACGAGATTCATGAACCCCATGGTTGTACTCTGGATTGGATGCTTCGTGGTAACAACTGCAGTTCTGGTTAATTCTAGCCGACTTAAATGTGCAAAATCTAGTTCGATCATATCATCGCTTAGTTGACACAACCAAGTTTCAGAAACATTCTGGTTCACCTGCGCGTTGTTGGTTGCGTCATACTTTGTGGAATTAGTTGAGATTTCGGTCTCTAAGGATCTTTGTCGTTTGGCTTTCCTCACCATTATGAGCGGTAAATTTTACAGCAGTACTGAAGATGTTTTCAGCAGATTTTTCTGTTTCTTTATTTCTGAACAGTTGGGCATTTTACAAGAGAGATTATGTACTGGATATCTAAAAAAACGCACACTTTATTAGGTTCTTAAAAATGATGTTAATTTTGGCCTTGAGGCAATTTCCGTATACTGTCGTTACAGTTGGTGATGACTTCACTAATAGTTTTGATGCTTACTCTGCTGAGAGCACGATAACATCTTTAAACTATGTATATGAAGTGGGAGACATCTAGCTCTCCTCCATTAGGAGACCACGAGAAGCGCCGAATCGCAGAAGGACAAAGGTGTCTAAAAGGACAGATATATGGACAACATTTGCCTCTATAACGACTACTCATAGGTCTTCAGAACACTCTAATCGGGCATATATCTAAAAGCTGTCTACCATTTATCAAATTATTGTTTGTGCACTCATTTGTGCAATATCTAAAACTGTCCGACCGCAAAAACCTGTATAAGGGATAGTGAACATTCCACTGATGCAAAGGAGTGAAACGGAGACTTCTAAACCTCTCTCTATTGTGTCTTATGAAGCCAAAAAGTCGAGAAATATGTGTGTGGCGGATTGCGACGTTTCCTTTGCTATGAAGGTTGGAAAGCAATAGACAGCAAGACGACCTGCTTAAGTATGAGTGACAGGGCGTAGTGGGCTGCGTAACGAGCCTCTGACATAAACATCACGCTAGAATTCCAGACTGTCAGATTAATCAATATTTCGAGACACTGCACATCATCGTTAACGTTACGACAAGTACACACTACTGGAGGCGAGAAATTTCCTACCAGCACTCAAAACAGTCTAATACCGTGAGAACGCTTTTTTGTTCCAGCCCAGGTAGTTGGAGTCAAATGTGGTGCAACAGTGTTCAAAATGAGCAGGAGTTAATTTAGCATATGATACAGAGGGTTCTTCCTGAAATTTTTGCTTCTCGTTTGGCGAGGTCTGCGTGCTACAAAACGCTGGGCCAAAGTGGCTTTGAGTTTTCATTTCAGCTTGAGCAAACGCCATGGAAGCTGAAGACACTTGTAAGGTGGAAACCGAACATGACGCATAAACCGGACTGATACTGCAACTTAGATTTTTCAAAGTTCCAATCTGATTTGCACAACTGAATCATTGTTGAAACCAATAAATACTTGCGTCTAATTTATATTGCCAACATATGAACAGAGAAAACCACAATAAATAGGGATTCATCATCCCAGGTACAGATGTTGTCACATTGTGAGCGTCCTCACTTTTCAGTATGGGTGCAGTGAACGTTCTTTGGCATGAGAATTGAAGGTTGTGCAAGCATATTTTCTAATGTACCGGAAGTCTAATGGGGCTTTGCAGTGGAGCATCATTTAGCTAGGAGAAACTTCATATATACTACACCAATTATTATGTTATAAACTTTTAAGTGGGGTTTCCGTTAGGAAAAACATCACAGCCAGGGAAAAATCTAAAAACTGAAGTATTCCCTTGCTTCACGGATCACAACAAAGTTATTTAGGTAGCATTTGCTTTGATTTCTTCTACACTGTCTACGCAAGCCACACGTAAATGATTTGTTGCGAAGATTCCAGGCATTTCCAGTGTCTAAATTCTGGTCTTCTCTAATTGAGGTATCAGTTTGAGGAAAAATATCTTTCCAAGCAGTCCCAGTTTCTGTAGCATGGAAATTTATATGAGTGTTACATGGACCAAAATACAGGCATAAATCCAGCGTCTCGGAATTTCAAACAAGACCAGTAGAGCATTTAATACACTTTTTTTCTGTAAACGTTTCGTCTCATTTTTTATCAGAATAAGCAGATACGCCAAATAATTCGCATCTCTCTGAATACTTCTGAAACGTACTCTAGCGCTAATTCGGGATTTCAGACCCGGATATACACTATACGTTTCCAGTTGCAGGTGCCGTTTTATTGGAGAGTTGCACAACAAAAAATATCCTCATGTTTGGTGACCAGGACATAGACTTTCTGGGAGAACACCACTTTCGTTGGTTACATTTTTAACATTATGTGAGTAACTCAGGAACGTAGATACTTTCTCCTCCTTTGGTTTAAAATCATGGGCTTGGAAGTGGCATCATTTTACAGCGGGTACTGACCCTGGAGAAATCCAGATGGTGTGGGAACCGATGTTGGAGTTGTGTTCACATTCTTTCTCCGGACACGACTACTTCGTGTATTTTACTCTAAAGTGGCGGAGACCTGGAATAACGTGTGACTTTTGTTGGGGCCCGTAAGCAGTCAATCTCTCTGACATTTTCAGGAGCCCGTTGTAGCTATTGCGACATCGTTTACATCGAACGGCACATGCTCGAAAGTCGAATATCAGCATTCACATCCCTTAATCGAAATGACACTCAACAGCAGCAGTTGAGTCAACTGCTTCATTTCTCTATTGTGGACATACAAGAAGAATCACGTAGGGGGACCACGACAGCAACGTGGATTAGAATTCACGAGTTCCAAAAGTTCCCAAGGGAGTCGCAACATTACAAAATATTCCTAGAGTACCTACTTCAGACAAGCTACGAGAGAAAGACAATGATTGAAAAATTGACACGCATAGCTCGGTTGAAGCCTACTTTTGACTTTTTGACTGAAAAACGGTATAAGCTTCACAGGAGAGTTTTATGAATGGGCAACATTAGTATTGGCAAGTATTCGACGTTATGGTGTTTTGCAAAAAACACTGATTGCCGATATTGTCCCTCTGTTTTACTCAAAGAACTGGATTATTTTCAAGGCAAAATGACTGAGTAAAGGAAAGTTTCACTTAGTGAAAGGATGCCCCTGCATACCGCCCCTTAATTTTTTGAAGCGTCTGAAGGACGCGCAAATGTGGCTGAGACTTTGAAAACTTAGAACTCAAAGGTCAAGGCGCGGGAAATAGTTCAGTATTGGTAAATAACTGATAACACCGTATTAATATAAGCACCATATCAGGTTAGACAGAGGGATTGTTATGCAATTAGGAAAGTGATCAAGTTGCACGAAAATGTGAGCCTTGTTCAACCACAGCAGATTGTCTTGCTTGTGATACCACTGGTTTTTCAGCATAATATAGACTTCAGGTTAATTTAAGTTAGAGGACACCAACAGTAATTCTGTCGCCAGAAAAGTTTGAGTTCACCTCATACCATTAAGGAACTTAGAGTGAAAAAAGATCCTGTCACGCTGTCAACCTTACAAGCGAAATTTCCTGGCTGGATCTTCTACATGGAAAGCAGGGGATAAGTTCTGATGACTGTTGGTCCCCGGATGTTGGAGAGTTGTTCTAAAGCGTATGTTGAGAAATAAAATCAAGACACTTCAATCACTAACATATGCTAATCAACTTGAGCTGAAAAGGAAATGGGTAGCTATTTGGCCACAGTTTTCAACCAGTTAAGTGAACGAACGTAAACCCACTTTTACAACGAAACCCCTTAAAATGAATGGCAGTTCCTTAAAGGGGCCTGTCCTAAAGATTGTGGCGGCGGCTGAGCTGCACTTTCCAGTGCATTCAACAGTAATATCCGTTGAGTCACTTAAGACTGTATGATTAGTGTGTATCACTAGAAACCTCGACCCATATTTGCCCGCTAAGTTCGGAGAGTTATTCCAGATATGATATTTTTGATTAGATACCTGCTTTCAACATCTATGATGAAAGGCATGTTAATACAGAGCTGTGAAAACTGCCATGCAGAACAAACTGCGTAACAGAATCCACTTCGGAGACCGAAAGCCATTAACCTTTCTTCATAAAATACAAAATACTGCTAGAAACAACCTCAAGAAAGCGGCATTGTGGATGCAGTGGAGACCAACGATTTCACATTCAGTACAAAACTGCTCGACAGTTAGTGTGATGAAACAAGTCACGAAGGCTGCAGTCTTATTATTAAGCAAAAGCCTGCTTCTTAATCATCTTTGGCGCTCGCGCAGGTGATAATACATGGAGTACTTGTGCCATTTGCTGGACGTTCAGCCCTCACAGCACGGAATCAGACGGACAAGCATGTGTTCCAAGAGCTCGGCAGGAATAACTTGTGAGCCACCAACTACAATCTCATTATAGAAGAAATGGTGGAATTGAAGTTTTATTCTGGACTAGAATATATTCTACAAAGCTCTATCAATGCAACCCTGTGCATCACTTAAAGGTCCACTCACTTATTATAATGACAGGTTTTGCTACGTCGCGAGAGAGTACCACACATCACACATTTTCGCCGGCCCCGGGAAAACGAGGGAACTGACAACGGCGTGAATGAATGCGGTAAATAAAAGAGCCAAACTAAACCTCGTCCTGCCTGGCATAGGGGACAAACCTGCGTTATGTCACAACTACGGCAGGTTTTCCGCAGAAGGGAGAAGTACACCAAAGGTTCATATGTAGACATGACTTGTAAACAACTGTGGTATATTCGCACTCCAGTGGGAGTTTTATTTTCTACAAAAGGTTTACTTTATTTAGATGGATGAAGGTAATTTCATATGTGATCCCCAGCCAAGTTACCAGAACAAAGCAGACAAAGAGGTACACTTAAAACCATGTTTGGGCTAACTAACATCTTCAGCTGTTAGGTAAAAGTTACCATTTTCACAAGCCACGTGCCTGAACTGATAGTCAGTTCGAGTCGAATCCCGTTTCTCGTTTGATTGAGTTTATGCCAGAGTATAATGCTTCTAGGACCCCTGCTAATGTTCACTCTCAGTGCGCCAAGAATTATACTGTGCTTAGAAACTTACAATTAAATTTATCCAAAATCTCAACAACCTCTGATACCACCGTTATCCTCAGTGGTTATTTAACAGTGTAACTTAGATTTTATGTTAATTGTATCCGTTACGTTAAAGCATACTCTGTCGACAAATTCTAGTGAGGATATACGACATTAGGTGTTATGGATATGTCATTGACCCAATATCCATCACGTCGAACCAACCAACCCATTACCAATGACGGGTACGGACAACTGTTACACAGCTAATGGCCATAAAAATAAAACATAAGCGTAGCATTCGGCTCCAGATTATGACGTTCTCAATACCCGTACCGACCGGCCTCCGATAGCCCATCGTTGTAGGCTACTGTAATGAAAGTTTGTTAGGTTGCGGATGAAATTCTTTGTCGGCTGAGTGATGAGCGATTAATGAAATAATTATTTCGATCCTGATCTCCCAAATAAACTAGCAACTATTGAGACACTGTGCAGACTGACGAATAAATGTAATTTTCATTAAATTCAGTCTTTGATTAAACATACCATGGTAGCTCTACTGGCGGAGGAATTATGAGCAGCCGGGAAGAGCAAAGTATCGGAAGACTCCATTGTACATCGTGAATCGGCACTAAGCGATACCTATTTTGAATATAGAACAGATGAGGCAAAAAATACGCTGGCAGTATTAGGAAGCTTGAAAGTTTCAACCGAGAGTTTGCCCTGTGAGCGGAGTTACTTTGTGCTCGAAATTCCGAGGGATATTATGTAGCTGTTGCATTCTTATTTGAAATTGGCAATAGTGCATGCATTGCAAAACCCCAGTAAGTGCAATTTTCCGACTAGTATTAAGAGATTATATCGTTCAGCACTGGTTAACTCGCACCTAAGCAGAATATAGAGCTACTCATCCTTTATTCGCGAAGTTTGCAACACCTGCTTACGTGTTTTGCTCATAGTGCAGCAAGGTTTCCATCTGTCGTAAGCGGGACCAAGACCTACGTGAACTGAAAGAATCATCAGGAGTGAGCAATCTGAGGTGGAAAAAATTTGGCTGGAAAGAAAGCTGAACTGAAGTATGAGTGCCGGCACGCATTAGAAAGTGGATAATGTCCGGGACTGGGTTTCACGTTCGGTGCCTGAGCAATTTATCGCCAACGAAATAAATAAACCAGCGTCTCCGAGCACCCCGGACGGCCAAAGATATTGTCGTAAACAATCATGAAAATCCTTATTAGGTTAGACGCAAGCAATAGTAAAAAGAACCAGAATGTGCTCAAAAGCCTACAACTGCATAAATTCATCGCAGCTCAGGATGTAGTAATGACCTCTGGGTGATTCGCAGATTTCAACAACTTGGTTGAAAACCTTTCACCACCACTCGAGGTTACACCGTTTAGGAGTGAGTTGTGGGTGGCAGTGCCGTATTTTGTACTAGTGTGAGTTTAAATAACATCGACTCATGCAGGTTGACATTGGTTTATGATTGGTGTTTGGTGTGTATTCTTACTAGATGACCTCGAAAAAGGTTCTCCTCTTAGGTTGCTGATGGTTTCAAAGAGCTGCCCGCAACTAAAAAATTACTCTTCACAACAATTATTAGAATGATGTCACTGAGCAGCAGTTCCATGACCTTTGCTCGTTTAAATAGCAGTTTTTCTGTTATGTGTTTACTGACACTTGCAAAGTGGGTGGAGCAACCGCAGTTACGTTATGAGAGTTAAAAACGGAAAATATTTCATACCAATTGAAGCAGCATGTATGGACATTTGAAGTATGAGTAAAATCAGTTTCACAATCTTCATGTTCTACTGAAGCAGAAAGCAGTTCACTCAAAAGGAAACTAATCTGGTGGTCGGAGGGCCAAACGACCCTATTTTTAGCAAACACAAACGTCGTCGAGTGTTTACTTTTCTGCAGCCGAACTTCAGAACCACTGTCCGTAATTCAAGTGGGAGAAGTTTTTCACATATCGTCCATACATCCACTGCACTAGATTCATACAAATGCATGCTTGACGTTTAATCATTTTGATGATCAAATAGTTTTTATTCCTGCCGTAACTATGGAGTGTGAAACCAGCTACAAAAGATCTTTGTATGTTACCCCGAAGTTAACTGCCTCAATACATCCATGAAAATGTGTAAGTTGAAAAAAACCCTTATCACGGTTTAGTGTCACCCACTTGGTTTAATGCGGCTTTGTTTAGGCTAAATAGGCGCAAAAACGGGACCATACAGAGGCATTGTATTTTGCATTCTGGAAGGGTTTAACTTGCTGGCAGCTATGTCTGGTGAACACGTAAAAATTTGCCAGGGTTTCGGTTCTCTGAAACCATTTCCTCAAACGGTTTGCATGCTGAAAGTTTGTTTTCTGAGGGACACCGTTGTATTTAAGAGGGCAGGATTTGGGATTTATCTGTTCAGCCACTAAAAACTGCTTTCTTCACGCTCGTTTTTAAAATGATAAATTTCACGCCGAGATAGTTCTCGAGCACCTCTATTGAGCAGATGTGTTGAAAAAAATACCGTGGAAAGCGGAAACTTTGTACTTGACAGACTCAAGAGCTTTCACGGGGTCATTATTTGCGATAAAATAGCAAACGTTGGAAGATTACTGTTTCGGGGCTGTGGTTTGCAAATAATAGTGTTCAAGAATGAAGTTACCTTGCCAAAATGGTAGCAACACAAGTCAAGTAAACGCTAATCGCACCGGATGTGGATATCATTTCTTTCTTTTGTCACTCCTTTGAAAAGGTGCGTGAAATTCAAATATCAGAAGAGATCCATCCTCTAGTCAACAGCAAACAAAGGCAAAACAAGCTTCCGTCCAATAACGTTTTACCGAAATCTTGATCGTCACTTTTACTCTGTGAGTGAGTGATTTATTTTTGTAGCAAAGGAAATGCGTCAAAGACGGCAGAACAACAAACATAATGACTCACTCGTCCAGAGTCTATGGGAGAAGCCGGACACACCTGTGATTTCAAATGTTGCGTCGTTCTATTCAAACGATTCTGCTCAGCCTGTGGAAACGCCAATCAGACAGGCACATCAGAATGAACGCGATATATGAGAACAGAGTCCAACAAGGCGAATCAATAAACGCATCGATTAGTGGAAATTAATTCATAGGAATCGGTTGCAGCCATTTTACTGGCGACCTTTTTGTGAATACGTACAGATATGTGGAAACACCTGATCCGTTTGTCAAGCAAATGGTCATAAATAAAGGAAGTTAGAGAATGACATGTAGTATGAAAGTATGAATATACATAAATACACATAATAAGAAATAAATAGTCAATCTTCGTCTTGGTATAGATTCTGACCAGCCTTTGCAGGGAAGAAAACAATTGTCAAGCTTGGAAAATAAGACTATTTGCAACTTTGTTGAGCTACCAACCCTCCTTTCAGTGCGAGAGACAAAAGTTTTCGTCCGAACAGGGTTTTCAGAATCTTGCCCTAATTTTTTGTCGAACAACGGGTTTGCGGTTCACAGTATTCATGGTCAGGCTTAGTGGAATACAAATATTTGAAACCACTTTTCGATTTGAAAACATTTCCCTTTTGCTAAAAATAACTCCACGAATGTATGATGTCTTGCGTTCAAACATTTTACTGTATTTCAACCGCTACTTATCTTTGTGCAGTTTCAGTTGGTTAAAATTGAAGGTACTCAAATGGCCACGGGGCACGCCACAGTTGTATAGGACCTCATTGTCTCACTGGTTAGTAGGACAGGGTTAAATGGAATGCGTTTGAAGCGTAAGGCAGATGGTTCCAATGCATGGCGTTTTATGTGTTGTGTGTAATGCATTTCGTTCGAAATAATACCATATCATCCTTTTAAATACCAAAACGGTTAAAATAGTGACAAAAGAAAAAAATGTAGGATTTTGAAGTGAAATAGTATGCTCGTAAGTATTGATTTCTTAAACAGGTACTATCTACATACCATCTATACGGTATACTATGTACGCTCTTGATAATGGATTTTTAACTTTGCATGGTCGAGGGCTACTGTATTCATCCTTCATCGATTTAAAGCGGCGTAAAGATGGTTGTGGGAAATGTAAGCATTTAAAACAAGCCCTGAAACGTTGAGCTAATCAGGAGTGTTTGTGACAGTTGCAGTCGAGTCATTTAAGGACAGATTCGCAGCCCAAACTCTGTTAAAGTGTCTGTTCACAAGCAAGTTCTTACATAAGAGGTTCAAAGCTGGTCTCAAGCTGTCAAAGAATTTCGAGCAATTTCTGCCAGACAACATCATATTCTTTGTTTTTCTATCAAGAAAACACTACAAGAACAATCTCTAAGACCGGAGCTCATGGTGGGATTTGAACCCGGTCAATAGGCTATTCGGGTCCTGTCACTGGATGCAAACCAAAAGCACCACAGTTAGTCAACAATCCGGAATTCTTTTTGAGGTGCAAAGCCTCGTATAGTTGTTGCTGTAAGGATTGCCTGCTCTGGTCGACTGGAAACAGAAAGTAAGCAATGACATGGATTGCCAACAATCGGATACACATTTTAAGAACTTTGATGTCCGACTTTTTCATCAACAATATTTGCATTCAGCAAAAACCATTTGCTTATGCTTCTACACTTATTGTGCGTATATGTAAATATAGAGAATAAGTATCACCTTCCTCCAATGTCGAATATTGTGTGGAATCTGGCTTTACCTGGGTTAAATTTTGCTGAAGTCAGTTTTGTGAATTTCAGTGTGGTATGCCGAACTTAAGCTTCGTGAGCCACCGTTCAATGAATTCTTTACGAAAGCAGGTGACAAAGCGACTTAGGTTGGTTAAACAAGTAAACCTCGCTCCGTGGATAGAAGAACAGGAGGGCTATTTTGGCTGGCCAGAATCAAAGGTCTGTTTTTAAAAGATTCTGTTAAAATAAAAGGCGTTGAAAGACAAAGTCACAAAAGAAAGTTTGCATCAGGGAGTTTGCTATACTTCCTTCCGTTCTGGAGACATTTTCACATCTCCGAGCTCAGAAAGACGGATGACAAAAAATGTATTGCCCTAAAACGTTTTGTATCTTATGAAAATTGCAATTCATGAGTAGTTGTCAGTAATGTCTGAATCCAACGTGAATTTCAGAGAACTTCGTAGTTACTCACCTGTACAAGTTCAGGTCGTAGAATCAAGAAAGAAAGTTGCACACTCAAGAACTCACCAGCCTAGAATTCGTGTGAGATGTTGTACTTTCCTGTCGTACTGGTACACCTTGGTTAACTGTATTAATTGATTTCTGTCCGTCCTGAAAAACGGAATATGGTGTTGTAGGCTGATTAATTCGTAAGTGGTCACTTAAAACTCAGATTAGGGAAAGTTTAAAGCGTAGATTTACTGTCGATCAAATGTCCCATTTACTCAAGCCTGGATACAGGAATAAAAAACCGTAGCGTTAGACTCTGAATCACCGGATAAGAACTTAATGCAAACAAACCTTCAAGTAAAATAATGGATTAATGCTCACTTGGAAACTTAACTACGTCTTAAGGTGCTTCACATTTGATTACTTTCTCTGCAGAAAGACTGATTTTGGAGAGGAATCCTGGTCACATACATCACATCGTGACGGCACCTGAGTGGGGGAAACATGGTTATTTTTTCTAGTTCCCTTACGTCATGGTAGTGAATCCTAGTGCGTATTTGCTATAGACGCAGTGTGTCCGAGCTGGATAGGATAAATTTAATGAATGTATAAGATGGTGTTGCTGGACGTACAAAGGACAAATGTGGATTGGGATTCATTTTAAGACTTCCATCCAGTCTTTGGGTCGAGTAACAAATGCAATAACCATAGCCCTGTCGAATTGGTGTTTTCCTGATCAGCGAATACCAGTGGATCAGCCAACTTCAGTGCTCGACAAGAACGCCGTTAACGATCCACAAAGATTAAGCGTGATTACGTAATTGTGGCTTCTGCACACGTGGTGCTTCTCCAACGATGTCAGTTTACTTACGCCACAAAGGAGCATTATTCACCTGTGTGTGGTTATGTACATACGCGAAAGGACGTTCTGGAGTAATCAACCGACCTGATGAATCAATGAAGCCAAAAAATCGGTCAGTGTATGATTCATATAACCCACCTACAAAGCCAGCGCACACCATAAGACCGGTTGGGGCTGAGCGCATACTCCAAAAGGCGTAAACGGGGGATAATCAGTCGGTCACCGTATCTCAACCAGGTTAACTGATTTAATGGAATAGGATAATTAATGACTCTACGCCATCCCCACGTCAGTAATAACGCAGTAGTAATCAAAATATATATGCATTGTACTACACGTACATCAAAATTTCACGGTGGACTTTCATTTTGGGCATTTCCAGACCAGCGCAAATGCCCTCATGTAAGGGCCCCACAAGTATGTTGAAGTCGGCGGATTGGTCTGTATACTAGCGACAAATTTATTCAATCGGCAAAATGGTAGCATTGCTGATCTCCAGTGTTGACACGTTCTTGACATGACTCAGGTACGTAACGGAGAATGGATCCTTTTTACATAATCAGGTTTTTGGGAAGTGGAAACCAGTGATTGATATGAAGACTTACTTCGTCTACGGAGCCTTGAACGACGCGATCAATGTATGTTCGAGGGGGCTGTCTTGGCACAAATGTGTCTGTACTGTAAATCTGTATATTGGTGTAAAACAACATAAGACAGCTTTGAAAACTGGACAGGATGTAGGGGTTCTTTTCAAGACGTTTAACGGATGAATCACGAATGAACTAACCTGATTTGTCTTTTGACACTAGTTGATCCACGAGATTATGATATAGAGAACATTGACTCAGTTCCAGACTACTGCTTTTTGTTTATTCATTTATAAAAAAGTTAAACTTCCGTCGTTGTAAAAAGGGCTGGAATTTTTTGTGTGCACGACAAGCTAGTAAAGATGTTCGCGACTAGATCGACGCCTCCAGTGTTAAAACTTCGGTAGATCAACAAACAAGTGAAAGCAAGTGGACAGGCTTCAAGGCTGAACGGTTTTACAAGGCTTGATTTGCTTGCATATGAACTACAGAAAATCAAACCAGTCAGAATGCTAGTCGATGTCATGAATTGAACATAAACCGAGTAGTCTCCAAAATCCGTCTTTTGCTGTGAGCGTTTTTCTCCCAGGAGCTTTTGAGACGAAATACGAAATATCGGGTTGAAGGTTCTGAGAATATCATCTCGTGAAGACCGGAAAACATGCACTCAGCCGACGTAATTTGCCATGAGGCTGTCAAATCGATATTGAGCTTTTTGTAACACAGCTGCACATTAGATCCCCGTATTGCACGGTCGAATTTAAAAACACAACATAACGGAGTGCACTCTGTTTTCAATGTCAGAGCCCGTACAATTCAGAAGATGCAGTGTGGAGCATGGTCCTGGGTTCCTTTACTTTAGAAGCCTATGTGTTATATCCTCTAAAATAAGCAGTTGCGTTGAAAGCACATAAGAACTCACGGTTTCACTTGAGATAGAACCCGGCGTTATGGCATGCCTGATGTGTTCCATCTTTCGTTCCGGCTGGAAAAGTAAAGCGGAAGTCAAAACGTGCTGCAGATGCGCATAGAGTATAAAAGCCTCGTTAGCGTTAAATTTGGAAGCCGGGGGAAAGGGATGATTACTGGTGCTGTGTTAGATCTACCCACTGGTGCTTACAGTAAACTGTTTTGTCTCCGTAACGTAAATCGTTCGAAAGGACTCCGGGATTCGGGCATTCACTCGAATTTCCAGCTGACTTCTCTGTAGAAGAATTGAGCATTAGCTTAAATTCAAAGAGCTTACCAACTTCAGCGATTTTTGACTAGTGTGGGAACAGAATTCACTAAAAATGATGATTCCAAGTTACTTGTTGTTACATTGGATGTCACAACACAAACATCCATAGCACTGTCACAAAGTTATCATTTTGAACGTGTATTCTTTCATTAAAGCTCAATGGAAATTTAAGGCAGTAGTAGATGATCGTTTGTTAACAGTAAACTTCTGCCCGTCCGCAGCATTCTTCAACTCTAGATCAAACAGACCTTGGGAGAATTCATGCAACACAGTTTAAACCCTGCCTACACTGTCGGTGATAACCATACTTAGGAACATGACTAATGGCCAAATGAACAATCCTTCTTAAGCCTGCATCTTGTAGCCAGATCTTCAGTCATGCATGTCTGTATCTAAATTTCACTTTAATTATCATATTTGACAACTGGTCTTACTGTTTGATACTCTTACATGAAGTTTAATTTGGTTCGAAGATGTCGCTTCCTTGCAGAACATTTGTCATTAAATTAAGATGGTATCTGCGGGTGATACGGCCAAATGTCCGATAAAATGTTCGTTCATAACAGTCTTGTACCAAACGTAGTGCATAAAGACCATTCCACGTGTCAGCTTAGAGGATATTCAACATACTGAACTTAATCCTTTGATATGACCCCTCTTACAATACCAAAGATAAATCTTAGGTAATGAATTTTACTTTATTCGGGGCCCTTCAGATTGGTCTGCTCCCTAAAAATCCTACTTGTTTGCATACGAGTGTCTCTCTACACAGTAACGTAACTTGTTTTCCAAACACCAAGTAAGTGTCATGGAGATTCGGAGAATGAAACTACCAGATGGTTGCGAAAGTGAGCAACCAACAGTTGGCCACCCAATAATTTTGTCAAACTTTTAGGTAGTTTGTTTTCAAGAAAGGCACGTCAACGGCATCGATAAGGTTTCAGCTTAAACCTGGGGTGGTATTCATAGAGCAACTTCAGTTAACGAATATTACAAATTAGAAATTCAGCTACATGTTATCCATAATGATGTTAAAATGAGTGCCTGTCTACAATTGCATCCAGCTGAGTTTAAAGTCGCAAAATGTTTTGATGAAGCGTTGCCAACTATAAGTCCTCGCAAGATCTATGAGTGGCAAAAGTGGTGGTGAAATAACAGAGTTCCTTCTAGTCTTATGGGTGGTGTTCTGTGAGTTGTAGAAGCGTCCGTTACGCTGCTACTGGATTGCTTTTGTTTCCACTGACATGGCTGCTGCTAATATCTTGCTAATTTCGAAGCAGAAAAAATCATCAATTGTAGTGGGTTGCGAAATTCACCTTCGGGTCACACTCGTTTGAAATTTTTCCTAATGTCCTGGCTCAAAAATTCCAGTAAGACCACACCAAAAGGGTTAAGCAGCTTCCTGAGGTTTTCTTCCTATTCGAGAACATCAAAAGTGCATACCGTCGACTGCGTTGGGGTTCGAATTCCGGCCATCTGATATGAGAAAAACATGGCTACCCCACCAGCGCATGCTGGGCTCACCTGGAGTATCACGTCTGAAAATGCAGACATGTTGGCGCCTGTAAGATGTAAGATGATGATGAACGCCTCGAACAGTGACACATTAGCTGTCCACGTTGTGGAATGGTTCTTGTGTCGCAACTTCTAAGTCTGATAGCCCCACGAAAGCCTGAAACCCACTGGATTAATTTTGACTAGATGGGGATGATTTCGGGATTTGTGGAGTTCACGCTATTCAAGCGCTAACACATTCCTCTGTTCACACTTGCCAATTCAGGCGAATACAGCATGAGCTGGGGTTTCGTGGTAACACGCTTGCTTCGCCTACTTCGCTGCTGTTTTTGTCCCCTTTAGCCTATGTCTGCCTAAAAGTTCCATCAAACGATCCTACCAACGTAAGTTATTTCCGTTAAATACTTTCTTCCAAGAGACCAGCCAGGAATGAGTGAAAGCGACCATTCATGCCTTGTATGAAGTCACTTCAGACCGAACATTCCTGAGGTTGCTTATGTATTTCATCCGACAGAGGCTGAGAATTAAATGACACATGGATAAATATTGCAACAGTAGCCCCGTTTGGCCATCAACAAATCAGGATACAATGTAAAGATGCTTGTCAAATCGAGGATATTTTCATGCTGGAATCGATAATTCGGTATGAACAAGTTGTCAGTTTGCACGACCCTCCTTATTTGTCAGCAAAAATTTTGTACGAAACAGTTATATTCGACTGCCAATAAAGTAACATGCAAACTCACCATTAGTCCGTTATCGAGATGTTCTCGCTCGAGTTCTACCTGCCCTAACCATATAGACTTGACAACTGGAAAGGAGTTGTGGAAGGATGTGTGAGTCCGGTTTACACGTTGCCGAAGGACGGTGGCCTGGAAGCGCAAAAGACAAGTAACTATGAAATTCAATGGGGCTGAAAATGGAATAAAATTAGGGTATTTTGTTTTGTTTGGTCAACATCAATCTGCTCTAGTGTCTTTCAACATACCATTTGTTAACGTCAGAATCCCAACTGCTCACGTATCGATTCCTGAGTCTCCTGTGATGCTTTTGTAAAAAAACAGCCATGAGTGATCAGTCACATGCATTTCCCTACATTACAAGCAGCTTTTAATCCAGGACGTACGCATTTAGTGCTGCAGCGGGAATTGTGAACTCAAATTTATCAAGCGAATGGTAGGGTAGAAAAAACTGGCTGTGTCGTCGTGGAAATAGTTTGGCAGGGCTGAAAGCAGCTCATTTTTAGGTGGTGGCATCAATTCGCCCCAGCCGTCGAGAGCTTGTGATGGTGCTGTTGCCTCCAAGTGACGCTTGTGTGACATCGGATCGGTTGTATAAGCTTGTATTGACTTGTAATGGTTTCGATGGTTTAAGATGGGAAACGTGAAAATTCTACCTTGGTATGATACTACGTGGTTTCCCGATCACCAAAGTTCTACCAACGCTTTTGTGAACCGCCTCACTAACTCTGACAAGGGCGCGCTGTTGTTCTGCCCACGACACCTATTTGGGATGTGGCTGCACTTATTTAGACGTGTGGTGAACGCTGCACTGAGTATACATTTATGGTGGGGTTACGAGGTTCGAAAATGTGGGTTATAAGTGTTGCTGTCATAAAGGAATCGCATTAAACAGTTGTGACACTTTCGAAAGAGTTGTAAAACCTCCAACTATTGCTTATGGCAGGGTGGGAAGAAGCTCGTCGTGGGGTTATTTTGTAATGTTTTCATACTAAAGCATTCCTAGCTTACCTGTCAAAATTGTCTTTCAAATTATTACTTGTTTAGGCTTACGATCAATTTTGTCATATTTGGACATTTGAAGAGATAATTTTAAACAAACCAAGTGGAATTGTTTCCTACCGTCTGAGCTAGTTGACTCTAGCCCCACGCTCCATCTTGAGGAGTCTCCCATGGTTGGTTGACGTGCAAAGAGGGACAATTAAGTTGTCGAATGTTGGACAATTAAAATCTGGGGGCAGGTGCAAATCAACGACGTATTGCACGTCAACATTTGAGCTCTCCCTGGGCGTGTTGAGCGTCGCACAGCCACGTATGCAGCTCACATCTATAACAATTGCTAGGGAAAGCACTCTGGGACTAACTTTGTTTAAACAGAAAATCGGAATTTAAGATTCCAGTATACTTTGCATGAAGACGTCACCCAAATGTTTTATGGAGTACACATGATACCAGCGGGAAAAATGTCGGCTGAGAAATCGAAGGAGTTATACAACATAACGACATTCCACGAATCTCACCCGGTCCGCCAAAAACAAGTGAAAACAAACTTATATGTAACTTTCGTTTGCGTGAAAACAGGAAGCCTTGTTTCCCCAAGATTTTCCCAAGCAATACAAGCATAGGAAAATAGGATGGTAATTATTATTCCGACTTTTGCAGTGAGCTAAGAAAATAAAGCAAATATTTGTGCGCATGCAAATCGTACTGATTGATAAGTGGGCCGCCTTTGATGTGCCATAGTGCAAGTGAAGGCTTCGATAAGGGTAAACGACTTCAAGAACACTATGAATGGGAACCACTTTGGAATAGTTAGAGTTCTACACCTTAAAAATAGTCACTGTGCGACAAGATTGCCCCTTTAAACAGTAATTGTTGTTCGAGTCTAGTGCAGTTTTGCTTGGGATTCATTTGTCATGAAAGAGACGTCTGTTCTGCTGGGATCAGCCAAAAGCGGCCTTGTTATCGGCCACAGGGCCAAGTCAGGCGATTCTTACACGAATGGATGTGACCTATCTTTAGCCGGCATCAAACACACATCTAAAATTATACAGGATTCAAAAGCAGATGTTTAGTACAGATCATAATGAAAAAGCTTCGGTGCACCGAAGCCGGAGTTTCCTTAAATACTTACATATGTTGTTTCGCTCCATTGATCAGCCATTGGACGACTTATCTCAATTTCCCCCTCAATAGAACCTTCGTCAATCGTCTCGGTATCCGAAGCTGAATAGGACAAAGTTGAGTGGAATAACACTTTTAGTACATATAATTGTTGCTTGGTAGCAGCAACAGTAGGCTTGGTCTACTTCAGGAAGCCTTTCTGAATGTGGCGCTATTCCAACTTGGTCAACTTGATAAGCTAGACTTTGAAATGCATTGTATCATCGCAGTATGCTTTACAGCATTTTGGATTCGTCCTGCTACAGACGAATACAAGTACGACAGGTGGGGTTGCTTTTCGCCAGAAACGAATGCCTTAGAGGTTAGAAAACAAAGAATCACAGGTGCGTGTATCATCAGCATGCGGATTGTTCCGTCACTGAAGATGCATGACCCTATTAATCGTGAGGTTGCTAAAAACTCTGCAAAATATTTTGCAGGTGTTGTTGACAGCATATATTCCTGGAGTCACTCATTAGCATATGCACAGTTGAATAGCTTATTTATCCAAGGGGTATTTTTGTCATCCTGTGCCTCAAACGTTATAAACTTATAACTGTGCCTGTATCTGGTAGTCAGTAGAAAGTCGGGAACTCTAACAATAGTTGATCACCTTGAATGACTCAAGAATATCACTCACTAGAAATTATCTCTACAGATACGGCGTTGAAATAAGTCCTAATAGATATCTGTTACAAGTGTGTTATGATAACTTTTGGTGACTTGCTTAGAATATCAGACTATTTGTCCTGACTGGATCTATGGATCATGATTTTTGGTTCAGTAGAAAGTACAGCAACTGGGTTTTCAGTACAACGAGCTAGTAAATTAGGTGTTGTTGAATGTCAATTCGACAAGCATTCTTATAGGGCATTTTTACTTGGAAACCTTAGATTAACCCAAAAGATCTGCTTGAATAGTTGGAGAGACCACTACCTATTTACATCGCTTATTTTTTATTCAGTAATAGGCTAAGGTTCACGATTTATTCACCAATGCTTTTATGCCGTAGCTGATATTATTTCTTATCCTTATCTTTTTTAAGTTTCCTCCGGCCTCCAAAACTTCTGTCCAGCTTGACTCGAACCATAAGCTTCGTTGATACTTTTCAGTATCTAATTAAAAGTGTAGCGCAAATTAAGATGTCAAAAAAGATAAGCGAGCCACATAAAGGAATAAAGTGCCCTTTAAACAGGTGGCTGTACAGTGCGGCCAACTTTTGGTCGGTATGATTCAGTCGAGCGGATTTAAACACTCTATACCTTTAGAGAGACATCTAACTATGTTTGCACCAAACAGTTAGGATTAATACCCGGGATATGATGGTGTAAGCAAGCATAGAGGAGGTATATTCAGCAGGAGGTATATATTCAGCATCTCCTCCCCTACGCTATGTTAACGGACTGCATCAAGAATGCGGGCACTGAAGTACTATNCCCTACGCTAACGGACTGCATCAAGAATGCGGGCACTGAAGTACTATAAAACGATACTGACTTACCTTGTGCATCGTAGAAGAGTCTGCTATCATACTAGAAAATAAGTAAATGCAGAATAGCTGAATTCATTGTGGAGAAAGTGGGATTTTGCATGCATATACAGAGCTAAAACGTACCTTCCTATGATTTAACAGACACTGTACAAAATGTGGCACATCACAACACATTAGTGCGACAGTAATTTATATGGATGTCTCACATCTTCCAAGTTCAAAGGAGCACTCTGAGTTACGTAGTCGTCTTCGATCACGGAGTTGGTTGCCAACAAGCTGTCCAAGTCATCCGTAGGTGATTGCGCAGTGCTGTTTACTTCCGACTTGCCATCACCGTCTCCCAAAGTAAAAGTCATTCTATCGGAATATCTTAATGTAAATCAATCTTTCCTGTTATTCTGAGGGTTTGGATGAGTGCTGGGTTGTTACCTCCTGGCAAGATAGTAGATAGAAAAATCCCTAAAAATCAGCATCAGGATTGTAAGATATGCCCTATACGTTGACTTAGCTTAGTATGGAAAATATATAACGTACACGAAACTTAAAAATAGAATACCGTGCAAAATGACGTAGATATTAGTCTCCTGAATGAAACAAGATGCATTGATATGTTAGTTGTTTACTAAGCCCTTTGCGAACATTTCAGATAGGTGAGCATTTTAGGCAGAAAAATGCGTTCCATGCAGTGGAATATGGTGAGAAAGCAAAACTTTTTCAACGTGCATATGCTAAATAATTTATTGGCTATCTCTATGAAGGTGCTGATATTAGTGATAATGAATGTGGAAGTTATTACTCTGCACGTTACCAACTCATCAGGTGCCGTTATTCATCATGGCTATTCCAGTAAGCAAACTAGTGCACAGACAGCCCTGAAGGACATCATTTATAAGGCAAAGTGAGCATCAGATTTCTACAGGTATTTACCTGTTTCTGTGTGCGTACAGCAAGTCGCCATGGCAGTTGTAATCAAGGGATGAATGCCAGAAAAGATGCACATTTTAGCCAAATCATGTGGCTTCCAAATTTTTGCACTAAACTTTGGCTTGATTCTGATCAAACACATTAGATACTGCCACCAATGTTGTGAAACGCAGAGCTAAGTTGCTTACAAGTTTCATAAGTTAAGGGCTTTTTAGATGGGTCAAGGTAGATTTCTTGTTATGCTGCGCAGTCTTTATGACGCCTCAATCCAAACGAATGCTTACTGTCACTGTTTTTCATAGATTACATGTTAGTCTTTCCCATTAACTGTATGATATTGTTAAGATAGTCTTCCCTTGTAGGAGTAATTCAGGTAGAGAAAGACCAAACCCCTTGGAATTACTTCATCAAGTAGTTGCCTAGTAAAAAAGCGGCTCAAGTAGCCATCGCATAATATTTTCAGTGAATATTGAATTGTTTCATAACTGGTAATTATGCTAAGCAAGGTATATCCATCGTTGAAACATTCGGTGTGTATAACGGCCAAATTTTGACCAAAACCAGTGTCTTCATAGTCTACATGCAACCTTTAGAAAAAGTTTGGTTGCAGAATTTGATGAGAAATTTCAGCAAAATATTTGGCGACAAATTGCAGTAAAACACGAAGAATAGCAAAAGAAACAAAGTTAGACGAACAGAATCGTTGAGTGCGTTCTCCTTTTTAGACATTTTCTAGCGCGCTTGAGGTAGCAATTACAACGGAATTACCGGGAAACGATAATCTACAAAGAGTTCTGAACAAGTCCTGAAGTACTCAATGGGTTAAAACTTCAGAAGAGTACAATCTTTCTTCAACTGCGTTGTCCCAGCGTCTGTGAAGGACCAATACATATGCTGTCACAACGGTCGTCTGTTACATATTGCTGAAGCGACCTGACACAGCACGATTGGTCTGTGGCTAACCTTGCCTTGGATCATATGTACATCCCCATTACCTTCATGCAATCACATCTGGTGTTTAGTAACCTTCGACTTCCCTAACCATTTCTCGGAGTATCTGTCTTTTCACTATCAACTTGTCAGTCAAATGACTTACCCTGGCCTTTACTTCGGATATAGTTGAATAACAGACAAAACACACCAAATATCTAAGTTTGGTCTGTCTTTTTGGACCACTTCATAGTACTCACTAGATTTATTACGAGAACTGGATGCATAAAATCAGAACACTCGTAATTTCCCCGCTGATTATCTAATTTGAAACCTGCGACAATTTATCCAGAGGCATTCTGAGTTTCCTCAATCTGACTAGTAGCTGCGTCTGGTTTCAAGTTTTACGGTTACTGAATTCCTGCCCGAATGTTTCTTGTTCATATGTGTGATCCCCTGTTGAAAGTTAACAACTTTACCAAAAACACCAGAAACGAGAGATTCAGCTGGGTTCCAGGTGACTCTCACGAAAAAACCAAATTAGTTTGCAAATGAGTGTATATTCGGTAATTTCGTGCAATTTGGTTTCAAGTAGAACATGAGGTTGACGGAAACCCGGGGACTGCGCCTACCCGATGAGTCCCAAATGGGCGAAACCAGTCGTGGGCTGTTGATGGATTTTCATCAACCTTATGATATACATGTATCGCGATTTTCAAATAACGTAGCGACTGAAAAATGAGGTGGCCTGGTGCAGCACATTTAGTTGCCTGAGAACATCAAAAACGAGAGATTCAGCTGGGTTTCAGGTGAATCTCACGAACGAACCAAATTGGTTTGCAAAGGAGTGTATATTCGCTAAAAACTTTACCACTTCTTTGCACGCATCGATAAGCCATAAGGACGAATAAATTGATTTTTAATTTTAACTTGGGAGCTCTGGAGATTCAGTATGGAGTTATTGATGTCACCCGCAGTACTCTAGTAGATGAGAGGCAAACCACAGTGATGGACGGAGGCTAAAAAATCAAATAGCAAAGGGGACGCACACGCTGCCACACGGATACACTGAATGATCTGTCAAGTTATGTATTTATTTTAGCCAAATAAGCCAGCAAAACTTCACCCGCTCATCGGTTTCTACCGTAGGCATTAGGAAGTGTTTCCATGAACCAAACCCTAAGGGAGTATTAACGGATACATCGTGAAAATTAACAAAGACATTGGGTTATAGGTTTTAGTGCAGCACTCAGTATAGTGTCCAGCTTGGGTGACTTTACCAGCTGTGTAGCTATTCGCAAAGAACTGAAACAAAAATGCTTCATCATTTCATGAATACCTAGCCTCACAGTACTGTTACATCTCAGTACAAGACAGGTACATACTGGCCACAAAAATAAAGTATACGGTTTTGTACCAAGTAAAGTAATGAAAATGTCCGTAGAAAAGTTGAACTATACTTACTATGGCAATGACAGGGCTGCTTCGTGGCATAGTGTCTGGCAATTTTGCGTTAAGTGCCCCCGCTGGTTGAACAAGTTGCAAGTTATTGAAGCTGAAGTTGTGCATAAAAAGAGACGTTTTCTGTCATCTTGTTATTTTTCTGGGAAGAAAGAGAATAAACAGCCTGCCATACAGGTCCTTTTAAAACCTGCCACAATACTTGTGAGAGTGCAAACGTTCCAACCAGGCAAGATCAGATGCGCGTGGTCTACCAGATGACAGAATTCAACTGCGATCTGGCAGAAGCATTCTACGGGCAGTGAAAAGCGGCATTCCAGTTAATCACGATTATCAATCAGCTCTGTCCTAATTATGCTCAACTTGGCACACGATGAGCGACTGTGGATTTAGATTATAAGACGGCAGCTGTTTTCAGTCTGTTGCACCAATCCAATGAATCTGTGGTATCGCAAAAAACCAGATCATTCTGATGCACTGTTTTTCGAAGTCGATCGACTAAAAGAACGGCGATTCACTGAGCACTACAACGTACTCATTTCAATAGATGAAAATACTGTTCCAAAACATCCTATTTTGGCAAAATATGAAGCTGGACAAATTCATGAGTACTTGATAATAGACCCTCAGGTCAGGTGGATGTCAAACGCGTAAATATACCACCAAGATTCAGAGGAGTTTTGAACAGCGGTTAGGATGTCTATTTCACACTAAGCATCTGTATAGTGGGATAAATTAGAGGTGTTTAACATCAAGAAAACTGAAATAATATGCACAAAAAACAGAGGTGGATGAGAATCAACAATAGTTTTCGGCTTCATCCGACGTTAAGCCACTAAACTAATCTGTAAGGCCCGGAATTCGACACGAATGTTGTGGATGCAGAAGCTTCATAAGCCCTCGAAGATTGGCTGATGGTCAAAACTGGTGGTGAAAGCACTGGGAGTTTTTACTCAGTCCGATTTTCCCCACTGGTCCGCTGCGTTTAGCTGCGAACTCCGTCAATTCTTAAAACTGATTCTAGAAAGGTAGGCTGCAGATGCATTTCCAAATTTTATCACATTGACATCATTTTACTTGCAAAGACTACTAGTGAAAGGAAGAAGGCCTTCGCTGCGGAGTTATTTATTCGGAAAAGCCAGCTGACCGGTTACAGAGATTCGTTGCCTCCACCCATTCGACGGTCAAATCCAAGCAAATGTTACAAAGTGGCCCCACGAATTCCGCAACAGAATTCCCTTTTCCAGTCGACGCAAAGCAAAATTCTACGAAAAACACACACATCTCGCGTGCCTCCCGATCAGTAGTATCACCGTTACACTAGTAAACCTGTGAAGCCTAAAGACAAATTCTTGACACAATCAGATAAGTTTGCTGAAAGTCATCAACATCGCATGGCCAGTATTGCGCCACTTATAGATTCCCGGGTAGGTGCGGTCTCAGAATTGCCATCGAATTTATTTTAATCTTCTACAAAGTGTAACGTTCTTACATGATTATATCAGTTGCTATTGTTTTGTTGTGCCTGGCATGCCTTCTTAAAAGATTCGGTCTAAATTTTATTGCCATAAACGTAACCTGCAGATGTTGGAAGGCAGTTTTCAGTGACATCTGATTGTAAAACGGACAAAAAGGGACTGGAATCTGCTAATGTTACTGACACCATGGTCAAATGATCATGCGTCATAACGAACGAAATCTAGCCAGTGCTGAAAGTGCTGTCTGAATTACGACGGAAGTCACAGCACGGATTGGCTTGATGCTTTAGGATCTAAGCAGGAGACGATGTCAATACTTAAAGACGCCAGTGTCCTGAAAAGAAGCCGAAATGTCACTCAGTACAACTGATTCAGAGTCAAGTAGTGACTGTTTTTGTACGTAGAACTGTACCCATTAAATCGCGAAAAATAAGAAAGATGAGTTTGCACCTGTAATTTGTTCATAACTCACCAAACAATTAATAGAATGATAGCAAGTATACGAAAAAAATGGTATTGGAGAGCAAACAGAAGATGGTCAAACTTACTAAACGAAACAACATTGCAAGCGAATCAGCAAGAGCTGTGATGGAGGAACTTAATACGGTGCAGGTGATGTTTACACATATACCAGATGTGAACACGCAAGCAATCTTCCACTCAAGTGGATGTTGACAGCTTAACAAAAATTCTCAACGTGAAGTCTCGGTGAAGAAGGATATCGGGTAAACAAGTCTGCACCTTTTTATGACGAGTACTATAACCTCGTTTGCCTCGCAAGTGACACATACAGTTGGTCCAATAATTTTATCATACAGCTGGCAACAAAATATTTACAACCTTTGTGCTCGTTTTCCACCCTCGACCGACCAAAATAAACTGGACAATATTTTTCCAAGAATGTGCGATTAGCTTTATCGACAACGAAATAGCTGATTATTTCCACCGCACTAGGCCCAAAGGACGCCCGCGAACCTCTACGAAAGCTAGGGTACCTTGTATTACCTATTATGTATATATACTTATATAATTCTTGCGTTTATGATTTTGTGTTTTTAAAGTGGTTCGGTAGCTATAGCCGGCTATAGTTGAATCTCAAGTAATGTCGCTACTATTGCACAGATAAAAACAGCTCTAATAGTATATGGCGGCTGAATGGCTCAAGTCATCTGTGCCTTCCAACAAAATATCGGTTGCTCGGAAGTAGGGCCGGATTCACTTTATCTTTAAAAGTTTGCTGTCAAATTATATCACTTTATATTCCTTTTCTACATCAGAACAAAAACCGGGATTTGTAGAGTAGACAATTCAGCTAGAGGAATGAGCAAATAGTTATTTTTTTCATAACCAGAGAATAGGATAATAGATTTTCATCGGCTGCCTTAACAGAACCAGTAGTTTTTCCTCAGTCAAAAAAAGCAAAGTAGTTAATTGTTTTGCATAAAATATCCTAATGGGTCACTTAATAACCCTGGATTTTTAACCGATTTCAGCGAATCCTTAGCGTCCTACTTGATATCACTTCGCCTTCCTTCTGAGGAACTTGCTTTTTTTCAAGGTGATTTCAACAAAATATGTAACCAATAGCCTTTTTGGGTTCTTGAGAGATAGAATGTTTTGGCGTAACCAGCCTAGTCTGTATGTGACAGCATGTTATAGCGCTTGACTCCCTACTCGGTAATCCACATTTAGTTAATGTCAAGTGGTTTGGGCAGTTTGAGGTTTAGTTGGTTTCTCCATATCCCACTAGAACTCTTTCTGAAAGAAATCACGTAATTTCCGGGTGTGTTTTCAAGTTCGTTTAACCATGTAAGGAAATTTTTTTCACATTGCTTGGAGTAAACATGCTAGTGATCTAGTGTTTTTGTTTTCATTCATTGCGAAACGCACCTGTGTACACTCATCTTTACTTCCCGTGAAGTGGCCATCTGAAAGGAACAGGTTATCTTCCGATTTGAGCTCACACAAAACGTACAAAACAAGTTGATCACCGATGAAATAAGTGATATTTCGTTAGAACAAATTGGTAATATTGGACAAGCCAAAAGTACCAAATCTCCCTGGGCATTTCGTTCAAAGTTCGGGCTACATTCACGTATATGTGTCGGTGGATGATGCGGCAGGGTAAAATAGTCTCACCCACTGGATATTCTCCCAGGGAACCCAATTGATGAGATAATCCCTCAGTGACACTTATGAATTTTACCGTCCAACGTAATAGTCTAGCAGTAAACCCAGCCCAGTGTCACATTCCGGAGAACCAGGGTGGACCTCTTTTTCATTTCTCGGGAGGGGCGACGAGAGAATCCTTCATGTCGCGACAGTGACCTGTTTGGACTCTTCATACCCTGGTAGATATTTTTCGCGGTTTAAACCGCAGTTCTGACTCTTCTTGTTGTGCTACCGAAGAGTAAAATCCAGATAAGGATACTTTTATTGTTAAGTTGTTTCCAACCCCCTACATGATTCTTGGTCTCTGTTAAGGGATACCGAATAGCCCTGGGTCAACAAAATTTGATATTCAGCCATCAGCTATGCTGTCAAATTGCCTGCATAAGAAACGAGTCGTTTTGGCTAATTTGATCCGTCTGGTAACTGTTCCAGGAGTGCTGAGGATAGTTCTTCTGCGATCTCCCTATGAAAAGTCTTTTTCCGTTATGCTTAGAATCAAACATAGCAACAAACTGTAAGCTGTAGTGAAAGCTGTTTGAACTTTCTAAGAAGCAAACCAACTATTCCTCTGGTACTCTGCCAATCTCGCTAGTTATGTTCGGAGAAATCAATCCATAGCTGAAGCTGTATATTCACTCTTATTATTACTTACACTTAAAAAGGGCACATTTGGACTTCCAGAAGTATACTACGAATGTAGGAGCGGAGGGCAATTCGGTTACATAGGGGAATAAATAGCGAATTCGGGGCGCATCAGATGGGATAGTATTTGTTCACAATCACAACCAATCAAAGGTAACTAGTTTTAGCACCGATACACAAGCAAATCTTCATGAATTAAATGAATTTTTCTCCAGCGTACTAAATGACCAACACAGCGTGGACATCATACTACCAGGCAACAAGTATTTTAGTCATAAAAAATGCATTATGCACAGGAAGCATACTTTTATTCAACTTAATTATGACAACTTTAAGAGGTGTACATACGACAATTTGCACATTAACTACCAAGAGTTGACAGAAGGCCAAATGCTTGGTAGACGATTTTTAATTAATGACTCACGCGGCATTTCGGAAGATGTCCTGATACATGAGCACAAATATTGTGTGCGTAACTAAACATTACCGTATGTAGTTTTCATTCGGGATTTAATGATGCAACTAATGACAATCTATGCAAAAAGGCCGAGGAGCACGGTGCACCTGTTTGGTCGTAATTAGAAATCGTCAGTAGTGTGTAACTGGCGAAGCTGTGGAAGTTTCTAGCCCGCGCACTCCCGGCCAGCAGTTGAAGCTCTTAATGGTCTGGCCACTAGTGGGCGGTATGATTAGCTCGTAATTAGACGGGATAAGGTGCCGCTCATCCTTCAATCACCGAATCCACATCACGTGGTCACGTACTGATTGACTCTTCGAGAGGTGACTTCTTGGAACGAAAGTG